GGAGGGGATTGGGAGGGACTGGGAGGGGAGTGGGATGGATTAGAATGGACTGGAATTGACTGGGAGGGGATTGGGATGGACTGGATGAACAGGAATGAAGTGGGAGGGCACTGGGATGTATTGGAATGGACTGGCATGAACTGGGATGGACTGGGAAGGACTGGGATGGACTGGGAGGGACTGGGAGCGGCCGTTCTGGCTGGAGACGGCGTCGGGCGGGACGCGGCCGCGGAACGGGACCCAGCGCAGCCACGGCGAGGCGGCCGCGGAACGAGCGCGGCGCGGAGGGGGAGCTGGGATGGAGTGGGGAGGGATTGGGATGGACTGGGAGGGACTGGGAGGGACTGGGATGGACTGGGAGGGGATTGGGAGGGACTAGGATGGACTGGGAGGGACTGGGATGGACTGGGAGGGGACTGGGATAGACTGGGAGGGACTGGGAGGGGATTGGGATGGACTGGAATGTGATTGGGATGGACTGGGATGAACTGGGAGGGACTGGGATGGACTGGGAGGGACTGGGAGGGGATTGGGATGGATTCGAATGGACTCGGATGGACTGAGAGGGATTAGGATGGACTGGGAGGAACTGGGATGGGCTGGGATGGACTGGGAAGGAGCTGGAATGGAGTGGAATGGACTGGAATGGACTCGGAGGGACTGGGATGGGATTGGGATGGACTGGGAGGGATTGGGAGGGGATTGGGATGGATTAGAATGGACTGGGAAGGGCTGGGATGGACTGGGAGGGACCAGGAGAGGATTGGAATGGACCGGGATGGACTGAGAGGGATTAGGATGGACTGGGATGGACTGGGAGGGGATTGGGATGGACTGGGCCATACTGGGAGGGGACTGGGCCACACTGGGCCATACTGGGAGGGGACTGGGCCACACTGGGCCGGGGCTCCAGGCCGGCACTCACCGTGGGGCTCCTCACGGTCCCTTCCCGGGGCCGGCACCGCCGGAACCCCCGAAGCTCCCGGAATTCCCGGAATTCCCAAAATTCCCGGAGCCCCCGGAATCCGCGGCGCCCCCGCGCCCAGCAGCAGCAGCAGCGCCAGGAACTGGGGGGAGCCGGGGCGTCACTGCCCCGCCCCAAACCGACCCCAAACCGACCCCAAACCCGGCCCCAAACCGACCCCAAACCGACCCCAAACCCGGCCCCAAACCGACCCCAAACCGACCGG